GGGTGGCCCAGCACAGCCACCATAGTAACCACGGCTGCCGAAAAAGTGTCTTGACATCACAACCACCACGCAGATGGTTCACCGGCCACTGGAGTGCATTGACACAAGGAGAGTCACCAGCAGAGTCCAAAGAAAAGTAGANACAAAAAAAAAAAAAAAAAAAAAAAGATAACTGTGAGGTGATGAATTGTTCAAATGGTAAATTTTATATTATGTATAATTTATCACAATTTTAAAAATCAATTGTATTTTTATACACTAGCAACAAACAACTGGAAAAAGAAATGATACTTTAAAAACCATTTCCAATAGCATCAAAAAACCAGATGCCTAAGAATAAATTTAACATAATAACTATAAGACTCCTATACTGAAAACTACAAAAGATTGTTGAAAGAAATTAAAAAGGCTGAAATAAATGAAAGATATGCCAAATTCATTAACTGCATGACAATATTGTTAAGATTGTAATTTTCCTCAAATTGATTTATATATTCAGTGCAATCCCAAACAAAATTCCAGCAGATTTTTTTTTTGCAAAACTTGAAAGACTAATTCTAAAATTTATATTGAAATGCAAGGGACCTAAAACAACCAAGACAATCTTGAAAAAAGAAAAAGCATAAAGGTGGCGGGCTTGCCATCACTGATCTCAAGAATATAAAGTTATAATAATTAAGACAGTGTGGTGTTCATTAGGATAAAAAAAGTAGATCAATGCGACACAACAGAATCCAGAAATAGAACCACCCATTTACGGTCAACTGATTTAAGGCGAAGTTGGCGATATAATTCAATGGGGTAAAAGAGAGCCTTTAGGGCCGGCCTGTGGCTCACTCAGGAGAGTGAGGTGCTGATCACACCAAGGCCGCGGGTTCGGATCCTATATAGGGATATTAGGATAAAAAAAGTAGATCAATGCGACACAACAGAATCCAGAAATAGAACCACCCATTTACGGTCAACTGATTTAAGGCGAAGTTGGCGATATAATTCAATGGGGTAAAAGAGAGCCTTTAGGGCCAGCCTGTGGATCACTCAGGAGAGTGAGGTGCTGATCACACCAAGGCCGCGGGTTCGGATCCTATATAGGGATGGCCGGTTTGCTCACTGGCTGAGCGTGGTGCTGACAACACCAAGCCAAGGGTTGAGATCCCCTTACCGGTCATCTTTTAAAAGAAAAAAAAAAAGAGAGAGCCTTTTCAACAAATGATGCTGGAACAACTGAATATTCATATAGGTAAAAACTAACATTGACCACAATCTCACACCACACACAAAAATTAGTTCGAGAAGGACCAAAGACCTAAATGTAAACGCTAAAACTATAAAGTGTCTAGAAAAACTCAGAAGAAGAGTGACATACGTGAAAATGGCAGAGTAGGTAGCTTCAAAGTCCCCTTGCTCAACAGGTGAGCTTACATCCCCGCCTGCCCCGCTCCCATGGTTGAATACCGCTGCTGCCATGTGTGAACCACAGGCTGTACAGTCCACAGCCAGGACCAGGCGCAGCACGTGTTGGGTCCTGGGACCTGCTTGGAGCAGCGGACCCTCTGCTTTCCCTATTCACTTTGCAAGAAGGTTGACAACAGGTCAAACTCTCCTCAGATCCCCTGAGACTGAAGGAATGTTTACCCTCTCAATGCCACTGCGGCTCTTTTCTTAAACTTAGAGAAATCTTTCAGAGGAAAAATATCTTTTGTGGTGAAGAAATGTATGTGAAGTCAAGACTTTCTTGAGTTTTAGTTCAGATTCATTTTCTTCAATTAGAGGCAAGTAAAATTAAATCTTCACTAAAAAAAATAGACATATGGTATGGTCCCATTTTTATGAAAGTATTTCTATCTCTTTTCCTATTTGTAAAAATGCATAGAAATATGTCTAGGGTGCTGTACCAGAAATGTTAATGACGGTTATATTCGAGTGATGAAACTTGAAGTAATACTTTTATTTTCTTTTCATACTTTTCTGCAAGGCTTAAACTGTTTATAGGGAGCATGTACTGTTATTGTGGTAAGAATTAAGTAATTTTCCTTTAAAAAAAACCGAAAAACCCTGACATCTTGGTAAGAGCTCTCAGGGTTTAAAGCTTCCATGTTTTACTTTCCTCCTCTTCCTCCCACGTCGTCCCCCACCCCAGCCTCTTCCCTGTTCCTCTCCCACGTTTTCTCCTTGCGCTGCTTTCCGCAGCTCTAGCCTCTCTGCCCCAGGCTGAGAATGTCCCATCTCTTAGTGCTTAACCCCCTACTGGCCTGAGGAGGTAGGAGTGGTGGGCTCCTTTCCTCCTTCTGCTGGAATTTTGGGTGGGGCACATTTTCAGAGTGTTTTGAGACCCTCAATGATTCCTCCCGTCCCCTCTCTCTCTCATGAACCCCCACACCAGGAGAGGAGGCAAGAGCAGCCAGGGTGGGGTAGGGCGGTGGAGGGAGGCCCGAATGCGGCTCTGAGCGATGATCACCCACAGGACTCTGGGGTGTGGAAGAGCTTGACTATTATTCCCAGCTCCATGTCATCCCCTCAGCTTCATTTTTTGTCCCCAGCACCTTTGCCCAACACATCATCAACTTCCTCTTGGATTTCAATGTTCTATTTTAAGAGTCTACTCCTGAACAGGGATCAAATATGGGAAGGCCTCCTGCATCGGAGCTGCCCTTGTGACATGACTGCTCCCCTCCTCCCCTCAACCCCATGCCAGGACTCGGGAGCAGAAAGCAGAGGGGCCTGAACCAGGCTCACCCAAGCCAGGGAATCATGGTTGAGTAAGAGAAGATAGGCTGAGAGCAACCCTGCAGTTTTCACAGGACCAATGCCAGAGACAGGTGAAAGGATGGCAGTGGGACTGGAAAAGTCTTTGAACAAAGCCACGGTGCCCCATAGTAAACTTTGTCTACCATAGCAAAGCAACCTGGTATTACAGTCATGGACAGTCAATTCACCAAGATGTGTGGCTCCCTGGGGTGAGAAAGAATCCCAAATGCTGGGCATCTCTGGTCCTTAGTCCCCAGAAGGGGTGGGGCTCTGCTTTGAGGACTTCAAGTCTAACATAAGAAGACCCAGGAGGGACCCCTGCACCCCCATCCCTTTCCCAGGCAGAGATGTCAGGGCTTTGTGGGACACGGATCGTGTTATTGGAAAAGAGAAGATCCAGAGACATAAACCAAGGCCACTCAGGAGTGGGAGGGGGTCTTGGGGTGGGGGTAGCTGGAGGGGCCTGGTCTTAGTAACATATGGTAAGGATTGAGAGTTGAGGAGTAAAGTCCAAGATTCACTATCCACAACACTGCAAGGGGGGGGGGGTCATGTAATATGGGGTTGGGGGTCATGGACTGAGGGTTGGAAATGCTGAGCGAACATGACAAAAAACAAGGAGGCTGCTCGCACAAGTGCAGGACAGGGAAGAGAGGAGGCAGGGGAAGGTGAAAGGTGTGGTGGGCAGATGCGAGGACTGGTCTTTGGGAATTCTTTGTCCCTTTCCTGAACCCCTCCCCTGACCCCCAGACCCCTGGCTCTTCCCCCTAGATAGGTGGCAGGGATAGAGTCAGATTCTTTACCAAACACCCTTTGTACATTTTTAGCTGTGAACCATGTTCATTACTCCTATTTTTTTTTTTTCTGGATTTTAAGGAAAATGACCCTAAGCTATGGGATGAAGGGTTGCTTTTGGGGTGCAAGGGGATTAGAGCCCCATCTTGGCTTGTCCAGGGCCTACGGAGGGTGGGCAAATGCTCCCCATCCAGATTGGCAGGAAAACCCAGAAAAAACAGCTCTGGAGGTCTGCACCAAGGCCTGAATTATTTGGGGCCAGGGAGCTGGAAGAGAGATCACCCCAATAGGGTTGCCAAAATTAGCAGATGAAACTATAGGATGCCCAGTTAAATTTGAATGTCGGATAAACAACAAAAAAATTTAGTGTATTTCCCAAATATTGTGATATATTTATAAAAAAAACCCCAAAAAACATCTTTTATGACACTCGAACTTAATGGGGCATTCTGTATTTTCTGCATCCCAGATGTTGGTTGGAAAGAAGTCATTCCTGAAATTTTCTTTTTTCCTTTTTCTGTTGCCATTTTTTTCATTGTTAACTCAAATTTCCACAGCCTTGGCAGCCTATGGATGCCAATGAGTTCACTTAAAAATAACAAATGTCCCTGGTCTGCCCGTCGCCTAATTCAGGACCTTATCCCTGTGAGCTACTGAAGTCTGGGGTCCCCAGAAACTGCTATATTATTCTGGTTCAGTGCTCATTGGCCTCCGGCCACAAGGGCAGCTCGTGCCTGGACTGAGCCCTGGGGCCAAGGTTGCACCTTGGCACCCTCTGCTGGTGAGCCCCAGATGGCAAATGGGGGGGATGCCCAAGGGCACTGGGTTCCACAACCAGTCCACAAGGACAAAGCTCCTCCAGGGACTGGAGAACGACCCTCTTCCCTGATTTCTGTCCAGGCCAACAGCAGGTGGCTTCTCCAACTGTCCAGCCTCTGCACTCCCCACCCCCATGGGGGTGCTTCACCCACCCCCAGCCTCACAAGCTCTTTCTGGCTTTATATGTGCCATGTGAATAGGTGACATTTGGTCCCATGCCTCCTCTTGGTTCCCTCTGCATCAAACACTCAGCCTGGCTCTGTGCTGACTAATTGCTCCTCCAGATGCCAGGCAGGCCAGCCATGGAAAAGCCCACCATTCCCAGGGGTCACTGTTAGTCCCCCTCCAGCCCCGTTGCCCACAGCATCCTGGAGGAAATCCCTCCCCTGACTGCCAGATGAGTCTGTCCATTTAAACTTCCTGCCCTCTCCCCAGCAGTACTTTAGCCAGTCTTCAGTGGCTCCTTTCAAAGGAGGACAGTTTATTCATTTTCCATCTCCCCACCAGGCAGGCTGGGTCTGTCTTGGTGGCTGCCAGGTCCTAGCATTGGGCACAGAGCAGAGTCAACACTAGCAGAATGAAGGTTGAGAATCTGTGGCAGGTGCGAGGGTCCTCCCTGGGTCAAGGGCAAAGAATGATTTTTTTAAAATAAAGACACTTTATTTACAGGTAATACAAAATAAACCACAGGACAAACTACTGTACCGGGGGAGGAAGAGCCCCCACAATAACCACCCTCCCCATTCCGGAGTAACGTATATATAAAAAATAAAAAAGGCCCTAGGACAGGGGAAGGGCTGGGCTGGAAGCACCTGTGCTGATTGGGGATTGGGGCCTACAGTCCTCAGCCACACCGCTCAAGGGCAGAGTGTACCCTGGCTCACCCCCACCTGAGCCCTGGGCCTGGCAAGGAGGGGTCACAGCTGCAAGAGCAGTGGTGGCCATTGAAGATGCTCCCTGGCCAACGACCCTGACTTCTGATTCTGAAGGGTTGGGGCAAGTACGCGGGTAAATGACTTTTGGGGGCAGGGATGGGGTAGGCATTATTGCAGTGCTCCAGCCAACTTCCTCGTGCCCTGGACTCAGGTCTGCACTGGGTTCCGGGGAGCAGCCGTGTCAGGGCAAGAGTGTGGTGTCTTCAAAGTGACGACGTTGTTGAGTCCACCACCTCACGGCCGTTGCAGACGGTGGGGACAAACTGGGAGCCAGACCCTACAGAAAGAAAAACTGAGGTTGGGGCTGATACTGCAGTCCTCCAGGCAGGGCAGGCAGCAAGGAAAGCAGGGCCCCCCTCCTGCCTTCTCCTGTCCAGGGTCATCTGAGGCCATCCACCCCCAGACAAGGAGTCTCAGCAACCTGGGGAGTGGCCCCCAGGCCTGAGGAGCTGGGGTGGGGAGAGGGGCTACAGGTGTGGAGGGGTGCTTAGGATGCTGACCTTGGCCGAGGCTGGAGCTGGCCCGGGCAGCAGCACTGCCAAAGCGGCTGGTGGGCGCCCGGTGGCTAACCACGTTCTTCTGAGGCTGGAAGAGGATGATGTGCAGCTTGGGCGCAAAGAGGCAGCCGAGTACCACAGAGCCACTGAGGCTGACTGACACGCACATGGTGGTGGTCTGTACCTGTGGTGGGTGAGTGGGTGAGCAGGCACAGACCAAGGATGAGTCTGTCCCAAAGGCCTGGTCTTGGCCCCAGGACCCCCTACCCAGGCTGTGGGGGAGCGGTAAGCATCCAACATTGGCTGTGGTCCACTTGCCAAACCCCAAAGGATTGCTAGGAAGGTTGCTCACAGTCCCAGGGTCAGCCTCAGTGGTCCATTTTCCCAGGAGACCAGAGTTCCAGCTGTGAGGGTGGATGTGCAGGAGTGCATGTAGTCTTGGGGGGGATACTTTGGGGGAAGGGGTACAAGTATGGCATGCACCCATAGGTGTGTGTGTGTATGTAGGTGTAGGTGTGTATACATCTGTGTAGATATATGTATTGGGACGGTGAGTGTGCACAGGTGTGTGTGTGTGTGTGTGTGTATGTGGGTTTGAGTGTGGGATGCATGGGGATGGATGTGGGTGTAGGCAGGGAAATGTGTGTGTGTGTGCCAGGTGTGCCAGTACTGTGTGTGCATGTAGAGATATGTGTATGTGTATGTCTGCATGTGTGCAGGTGTATGTTTGTATACCAGTGCGTGTGTATATGCATGTTTGTGCACATGTGTGCGTGCATGTTTGTAGCCCCTGGGTAAATCCTTAGCCACCTATGATTGGCACGCAAATGCAAACCATATGCAAATACAGGCTAAGTTGGAGCAGATTGCCTCCCCAGCCCTGGCCTCCACTACCCAACAGGTGGCCCAGTAGGTGCACACAGAACAGCCAAGCCCAGCGGTTCCTGGCCCCCAGCACTGCGCCACCACACACTGTCCTGGAGAAAAGGATTTTGCCTCAATTTTCCTGCTCCTTTAATTGTTAAGATTGTCATTTCAGACCCTAGTCTGCACTCCCATGCTGAGTGACACTTGGCAAAGGATTGATCCTTCCTGAGTCTTTGTTTCTTGTCTGTAAAGTGGGAGAGCCATGGAGCTCCAAAGTCATGAGGATTAACCAAGATGATCCTCTTATCATTCAGAGCTCAGCTTACTAGTCGCCTCCTCAGACAGGCCTTCCCTGACCACCCCATCTTAAGTAGCCATTGCCCCTTGCCCCTGGGGAGAACCATTGAGACAACCATTGCCAGCTGGAACCATATTTGCTTGGAAGCCACCACCAGGATACAGTTTCTACCTGCTTGAACCTTTCTCAACTGTACACCCTGGATCTCCTCCCCCTACCCTCTTTGCTTCACCTTTCCTGCCTTTCCCAGCTTCATCTCCCAATCCCTTCTGCAGCCAACCCCTCAGTGGATATATTTCTGCATCCCATCTACTCCCAGGCTAGGGGAGGAAATCTAAGTCCTGAAATTGCTTGTCAGCTCTAACTCAAGTTCCGTACCTCCCTGGCCATTTCCCCAGGCCCCACTCAGCCCTCCTGCCTTCCCCTGGAGTCCACACAAGCTGGGGGCCCCTTAGTGAACATTTAACCTCTTGTAGCCTCAGAGTTATTAGTAGATTAAATGAGATGCCAAGAAACAGAGGGTCCGGTATCCCACCCCCTCCCAGCTCAGTGGCAGGTGGCTCACCCGGTAATCACTAGAGGTGACATAGAAGATGGGCAGGAATGCCAGCCAGATGATGCAGGTGGTGTACATGGTGAAGCCAATGAACTTGGCCTCATTGAAGTTCTCAGGGCACTTACGAGTCTTGAAGGCATAGAGTGTGCAGAGCGCAATGAGGAGCACATTGTAGGCCAGTGAGCCCAGCATGCTTGCATCACGATGGTTGCAGCGCAATGTCACCACCTCCCGCCGTTCAGGGGCTGTCTCCTTGCCCGTGCCCGGTGCCTCCACCACCAGCCAGGTGGCCACAATGAGCAGTTGGCCAGAGATAAGTGCCAGACAGATGGCCACCTGCGAGGCAGGGCTGATGAAGCGTGGCCGCTGGGCACCCTCTCGGGCCCCGCCAAAGATGCGTGCAATGCGGTTGGTCTTGGTGAGCAGGGCTGAGTAGCAGACAGAGAAGGCAGTTCCCAAACCGAGGCGCCGTAAGGTGCACACTGCTGTGGATGGCTTGGCAATGAAGATGAAGGTCATGCAGTAGCAGAGGAAGACACCACCCAGCAGGATGTAGCAGAGCTCCCGACCTGAGGCCTTGACCACTGGCGTGGCATTATGCCGCACAAAGACTCCCAGCACAAAGAGAGTGGCCAGTGCGCCCAGACAGGCGATGGTGACAGGTCCCACAGCCCAGGCATCACCCCAGCGTATGTACTCCTGCGGCAGCTCAAAGCAGCCAGTCAGGCTGGCATTGGGCCAATAGCCCAGGCCACAGTCAGCACAGGTGAACTCGTCCAGCCGGTACTCATAGGGCTGGCACGGGATGCAGAGCCAGCAACAGACCTCGCCTGGCTGCACGCTCTTCACCTCGTTCTGGAGGCATGGCTCACTGCAGCGAGAGGCAGGCAGGGGGCCTGCTGAGGGTGAGGCCCATGGGATGAGACTGGTGTCCAGAGTCAGGCCTTCTGCCCAGTAGCCCACCTTCTGGTAGTGATAGCGCCCGCTGCCTGCCCGCAGATAGGTGAAGATGTTATAGCGGCCGATACCATCACCAAAGCGGTCAAAGCGGACTTCATTGTGGGTGTCAGCTGGGCGGAAGGGTGCTGGAACGAAAGAGGGAAGGAAGAAAGGGTTGGATTGGTAGGTTACCCTAACCCTAACATGGAACCCAAATACCAGAGCTAAGGCCACCACTAGCCCTTCCAATCCTTACCCCAACTCTAAAGCCCATCTTGGCCCCAGCCTTTTTTCTAAATGAGAGGTAATAACAAATTCTTACCCCTAAACTCCATCATCTAACCCCAACCCTTGTCAACCCTAATCCCCAAATGCAACCTCAGCCTTAAAGCCTAGGCATCACCACAAACATAATGCCCACAGCCGTCCTCAACCATGACTCCCCAAACCCAACCTTAGACCTCGTCTCCAACACGTTTCAATCCAAGCCCCAAACCCCAACTTTATCACAACACACAACACAGCCCTCTCTTCGAATTTAACACAGAGATCCCAGAGCTAAAACCACCCTCAGTTCCAATTCTGGTGCCACTAATTCTATCAACAATAATCCTAGACCCAGCCTCCGCCAGTCCTAACACAGATCCCAGTGCAAACTGAATCCCAACCTCAGCAGTCACCTACAACACTACCATTCAGCAGAATGTGCTCAGCAGGTGGAAAATCGCTTTCACTCTCCAGCCCAACTCCATCCCCTATGAACCTCACATCTTCCAGGCAGGCTCAGGAGCCAGAACTACAGCCAAACCTGGTTCCCATAAGAAATCAGGGATCAAGTAAGCAATGACATGCATAAGGCCCCATGAGTGAATGATGCAGCCCAGATTCAAACCTAGGCATCCTCAAACCCCTACTCTTTCAACACAGCCTCCAAGTTCTTAGAATCCAACTCCAGTCCTACCATAAATTCCTCCCAAGCCCAGCAGGCTGAATTTAGCCTTGCTCTAACATTAACTCAATCCGACCTCAGACGCCAAACCTGACCCCCACCCTGATTCTATCTCAAGTCTGAATGTCAATCTTATTGGAACTACTCTTCATCTTAAACTTGGGCCAGTGCTTCCAAGCTTTGTCAGCCCGGCATCCTCTCCCACTGTTCCCACAGTGATTCTTAGCGAAGCATAGTGAGGATTCTAAAGCACTCCTTTTTATTTTTGGTAACTGGCCAACACAGGGATCTGAACCCTCGGCCTTGGTGTTATCAGCACCGCTCTCTAACCAAATGAGCTGACTGGCCAGTTTTTCTTAGAACTGGCACTTTTATTAAAATAACTTTTGATTTGAGGAGACTTTGGTTACCGTGGGTGGAAAATCAAGACTAGGAATAGAAATTTTCCCTGGATATAGAGTGTCACCCTGATGCTCATCCTCAGCTCACCCTGATTCTGACTCTCACTGCTCCCTGAGTATGGGCTGAGATCCCCTGATCTCCACCCTGGCAAGACAAGGAGACAGGAGACAGAGGGCAGGGCACAAGCAGGAGCCAGAGACTCTCAAAGTGACAGGACCAGGCCAGAGGTCCACTTTCAGGAAGGGCCTCAGACAGGTGGACACTCACGCCTGTCTGCAGTTGGAGTCCTCTCTGCCTAGTCGTCCTTGTTCTACCTATGACATCAGCCTGGGTGAGTCCTTTACTTGCACTATGCTGTGTTTTCTTAGCCAAGTAATGAAACCTAAAGCCCTTCTCCTCCTCATCCTCCAAGAACCATCAGGCCAATGGACACTGGCCAGCTCTATTACCATCAAACTTGACGTTGAGCACAAAGTCCTTGTAGAGGTGGCGCCCGTTGACAGGCCTCATTGCGTCACAGAGGTGGGTGGTGTTGGGGCAGAGGGCACGGTGCATGTTGTGCAGTGCATGGGCCATGGCATACACTGCATTGACTACAAACATGATCTTGGACTCCTGCTCAAAGGGCACGGCCCGCAGAGAGTGGGCTGCGCAGTCTCGCCGCCGGAAGCTGCAGCGGAACCTCTGCTCCCAGAACTCACGGAACCAGGGGTTCCGGCTGTTGTTCCAGGGATCCAGGCTCCGGAAGTAAGAGGCAAAGTCACTGATGGGGTAAGAGGCCAGCTCGATGGTGATGGCGCCCTCAGCAGCCCCCTCGCTGCCTGCCACCACACTCTCCAGGGCCCCCCAGCCATCACTGGCCACCCAGATGAAGCTGGCATTGAGGCGCTGGGTGGCAGCCAGCAGCTCACGGGCATCCTCAGAACGGGTAAACAGGACGGCCACGCGGGCACTGGGCTTCTGCAGCAAGGCTCGCACCACGCCCTCGAAGGCTGCACGGCTCATGGCCCGGCCCACCTTCTCCGAGGTGGCCACGCAGATGTTGCGGGCACGGGCCTCTAGCTCAAAGGCCTCAATACCTGTCTCACCATAGTCGCCCTCTGATGCCACAGTGGACACATAGGTCCAGTTGAAGAAGCGAAGAATCTCGGCCATAGCCTTGGCTTGGAAGAAGTCAGGGGGCACCGTGCGGGCAAAGTAGTCATAGCGGGACTTATCACTCAGCTTGGCACTGGTGGAGGCATAGCTGATTTGTGGGATCTGAAATAGCCTCAGGAGGTTGGCCACCTGGGGGAGGGGTAGAGAATGCAAAGATCAGAGACCAGGTCAAACACTAGAGACAGATGCATCCCCTACATCTAGCAGACCTTGAGATCAGGTGTTCACAAGGTCAACCCTTGAAGTTTCCCTCTCTCAAAAGGTCTGTATTCTGACTTGATGAGTCTTCCCCCTGGCGGTAGGAAGTTTTCTATACCTGCCCATGGGCTGGGAGAGAGAAGACCCATGGCTGAGGCACCAGGGTCCTGAGCCACACCTGGATCCCTCTGCTATTCCTCTGCAGACACATGGCAGGGGAACCAAGGGAAGGCCTGGGATGGAGAAAGGTTGGCACTTGGCTACACCAGGGACCGAGGGAGGCACGAGATGGCATCTGGGATGCTCAGGACTCCTAAGCTTTCTACCTGTTTGGGGGCAGATAGCCCTTCCCTAGAGTCAATTCTGATAGGATGATGGAGAAAGAAGATAAAGGCTCTCCCTGGAAGAAAGACACATATCTGACAGTCCCATGGCCCTGGCAGCCCAAGCCTTGGTTTCCATTGCATACCTGAGCCTGAAAAAAACAAGGTTCCCTGCTGTACACTGACCGCCTGACACCCCATCTCCCACCCTCAGGTCCCTGGGCCTGCCCACAGGAGTGGGATCCAGCCAAGGACCTAGTAGATGGTGAGTAGGTGAAAGCAGGACATGGCCCATGTTCCACAGGAAAGGGCTAAGCCCTGTATTGCAACTGGGATGCAGTCTCTGACCCTGACAGTCTAGGACTCAGTGCCCACTCCCATATTTTCTACCTCTGTGCCCCTTGAGGTAACAAATCTCCTTGGGCTTCAGTTTCTCATCCCTGCCTTGCAAGGCTGCTGAGCAGATAAAAATGTTAATGCATGGGAGGCCACAGTGTCTGGCATAAGGAAAATGATAAGATTATGGGCAAGGGAGAAGGAGCAGGAATGAGGAGGATCCTTAACAGGCAGGTACAGCCTAGGATGAAGAGCTTGGCTTTGTGTTGACCAAGACAAGGAAAAAGCAGACTGATGCTGAGGTGTGGAACCTACTATAGGGTGCAGGCAGCTTGGGATGGGAAGGAGGTAATTGGGCTCCTGCAGATAAATGCATGGGGCCTTGAAGAGAATTATTGGGAGGAGGGGTGCTGCGAAAGCACCCCAGAGGCCTCTAAAGACATCAGCAGGTAGGAGGCTGCCCACCTCTCCCTGCCACCAGCCAGAGCTACAAATGTAGATGCTGGCACAGCCACCCCGTCCAAGCTGCTGCCTAGCTACCTCCAGCAGTCAAGACTAGCAGGACAGATAATCCACTCCTTATAGTAGGGGAGTACCCAGGCCTTCCTCCACCCCAGGCCGCAAGCTGACTCCATGGTTCAGATTCTTGCTTCTTCTTCATTTCTCTTGAACAAGTGTTCCAGGTCAGGAGTCCTAGCCCTATGCCTAATGGCAATGTCCTCAGCTGGCCTCCTAAAGGAAGCAAAGGCCTCCCTTATGTCCCCCAGTTCTGGCCTCATCTTCTAGCAGCCTATGCTGGGCACCCAGCAGGCGAGGATCTGGACAAGAGGTGGGGCCCAGTCAGGGAGGGAGTGGATCCCACCTGTGCTAAAGCAGCCAGGTGTGTCCAGGGTATAGCCCAGGCGGCAGCAAAGGGATGTCAGCTAGGCCAGCACCCTCTGCTGAAGCCAAGCTACAGGGCTCCCTCTGCTGACCCCTTGTGGGAGAGCAGGAGGCAGGGGGTGGGGGAAGCTGCTTCCCTCACCTTCTCACCCCCTGAAGACCCTAGGGTACCCAGCCCCCTACCCCCACACACATTCTGCTTCTTCTCCTGCTGGGTCCCCCACCGTGTTTCTCTTCTCTGGCTGCTCCTGGCTTCTATCTATCCACCCCTCTCTAATCCAGGGAGAGATGCTCTGACAGATCAGGAGGCCCTTGGCTGAGAGCCCTGATTTCACATCTCCATTTTGCCACTGCTTTGACTTGTGGCTTGCCTCTCTCCAAGCCTGTTTCCTCATCTATAAAATGAGTTAATAATGATAACAGCTAATATTGACTATGCCCTTGTGACTTGCCAGGCCCTCTGATACATGCTTTGCATGTATCACCTCATTAAATTTCTACTATAAACCTAAAAGTAGAAAGTGTTGTGAGTCCCAATTTATAAGGAGGAAACAGAGACACAGAAAAGAGAAATAACCTGCCCAGGTCATGCAGTTAATAAGTGGGGAAGCCATGACTCAAACCCAGAGGACTGACTTCAGAGGCCTGGATATTAGGCCTCTCAGGGTTGTTTAACATCAGGAGTGTGCGTGTGTGTGTGTGTGTGTGTGTGTGTGTGTGTGTGTGGTGGGAGTGGCTCAGTCTCTAAAAATTGACCCCCATTATGTGACAGGGGCATTTTAATCTTTCGTAAAAAGCTGCTGAAAAGAAGCTTCTAGTCCCCCTTCCAATGTGTGGCAGCCTGGGAGCCCCTGTTCAGTGGGAATTCTGATCACCTCCTCTGGCCTCCCTCCCCAGCCACTCTTTGGGCAGCCTCAACGTACCTGGATGGAGACATCACTGTAGGAGCCGCCAATGACACCCGTGATAGCAGTGGGGGCATCACCATGGGTAGCATAAGAACCATCAGGGCAGATATGACGTGAGCCATCAGCACTGCGGCTGAGCGAGGCACGTACAAAGTCCAGTGCCTGCTCCAGGGCGTGTGTGTCCTTGGAGCAGCTGTCGAGGATGTGTGCACCCAGGCGCACACCAGGCAGCAGGTGAGGGTCGTGGTTGATGCGATCCAGCGCGAAAAGCATGGCTTCCAGACGCTGGATACCACGGTGCTCATTGACAGGGCCACAGTCCTCCATCGGGCCGCCCTTCTGGTGCACTGGGAACAGCCCACCCAGTACCAGGTCCCCCTCCAGGGTCAGCACTTTCTTGGCTGGGCCCTCAGCCACAGTGCCCCACAACAGCAGCAGTGCCAGGAGCCCAAGCAATGATTCCATGGCCCCAAAGGGGATGGATAGGTCCAGCAGACCTGAGTCTCCAGGGGATGAGGGTAGAAGCAGCAAAGGCAAAGAGAGGAGGAAACAGGGATCAGGAAAGGACGGACAAGAAGAGAGATGAGAAGGGACCCAGCTCCTGCAGAGAGATAGAGAGATGGACAAACAGACAGGGAGAAGCGGAATCTGAGAGCGGCTGCCCCTTCTGACTCTGGCTCTTCCCACACCCTTTTCCCAGGTACTAAGGAGCCAAGGAGAGTGTGGTGTCACTAGGCTGAGAAGTTCCTGGGACAACCCCGGGCCTCTCAGCCCTGCCCTGATCTGGGCTGAAGATTGGCCCTGTGCCCCTACCAAACTCAACAGAGGGGAAGGGAGGCAGGGAGTGGAGGCTCAGGCAAAGGACAGGAGACCCCAGCCAACACCAAGCCCTCTGTAAATCAAAGGGTATCCAATACCCTGCACAAACCTCACAGGACCCCTAGGTCATTACCTTTGCAGCAGAGGCCATGACAGAGTTACAAACTCGGGAGTCCAGTTCCCATCCTGAGCCTTGGATTTCCAGAGAGGGGGCACTGTTGTCTGAGAACCCACCAGGGAAGAGGGAGGGAAGAGTCTCTAATGAACAATCTCAAACCCCCGAGGAGACTGGAGCCCAGGCAAACACCCTTGGGTCCTGGCCTCTGGTTCTTAAAAAGCCATCCCCACAGGTCCGGCCCGTAGCTCACTCGGGAGAGTGTGGTGCTGATAACACCAAGGCCACGGGTTCGGATCCCTATATAGGGATGGCTGGTTAGCTCACTTGGGAGAGCGTGGTGCTGACAACACTAAGTCCAGGGTTAAGATCCCCTTACCAGTCATCTTTAAAAAAAAAAAAAAAAAAAAAAGCCACCCTCAGAGTTTCCTTACCAAGGAAGAAATAGAGACCCTAGGCACTGGGAGCGAGACAAAGAGGGCACCCAAGTGGCCACAGGTTCTAAGTGAACAGGGCAAGTAGATGTGAGTGTCTATGTGCATCAGGGGTGGGCGGCAATTTGGCTGATCAGAATCTCCAAGCAGTGCTGAGGGTGAGAGTTTTGGACTCCCTAGCTCTTTGCAGGATGCTATTTGAGACTTTGTGCCTCCGTTTTCTCTTCACTGCAAACCCAGCAGAGAAAGTCATAATTTCCAATCTCCCCATCCTCAGCCTCAGGGTCCTGTCACCCTGGCCCTGGCCCTCAGAGACCCCCTCTCTCTTCCACTCTGCTTCCTGTCATTTGTAACCCAGTTACCTTCCAAAACAATCTCACAGGCTTGGAAAGGCTGGAAGAGGAATCTTTCCCCAGAACAGGAAACTGAGGCTGAAGAAGGGCAGCAACTAGTTCAAAGACCCCATGTCCTCACCACAGACACTGGGGCTCCTCACTTTGCCCCCTCAGTTCCCCAGGGCTAATCCCCTGCTGGTGCCAGGGCAGGGGACTGGGCTCCTGTGAGGACCTGGAAAGAAGCGGCTCAACCAGACAAACAGGAGAGAGAAGCAGGGATGAAGACCAACACAGATGGGGACGAGGACCCAGATGGGGGCTGAGGCCACAACTGATCAAGTCTGTGAGCCTCCCACAGGGGAGGCTGGGATGGAAGCTCCGAGGCAGGGAAGGGGACAGAACCCCAGAGTTGGACAGCCAGGGGGGCCTGGGACACAAAATCTGGGCAGGGAGTGAGACCGAGAGGCTGAGACAAAGACGGAGGCACAGACAGAAAGAGGGACCAGAGGACGCTGGAGCAGAGGGAACGGGGTAGCGCGATGCAGGGAGTGCATTCTCTGGGGAAGAAAGGCGGGACACCCAGGGCTTTCTTCCCGCTTCCCGAAGCACCCAGAGAGCGCCATCTGGACGCCCCGGCCCGGGCACCCCAGAACTCGAGGGTCCCCAGGGCCCCGGGACGTGGGGTCAGTGCCTAAAAGGTCGGCAGCGGTCGCGGCACCACGGGCTCACCCTACCTGGCGCGCCCGGCTCTGGCACGGAGAGAATCGGAGTGGAGCTGGGGGCGCGGGGTTCCTGCTCCAGCTCGCTCGCTCGTTCGTTCGCTCGCTCTGCGCTCTCCGCCCGCCC